TCCTCGGGACCATGGTCCGTCGTCGTCGTCCAACGAGTTCTCGTGGCCGCCTGGGGTGGTTGTGATGGTAGTCGTAAGGAAGAGGAGGATCATGACGATTGTTCGGATAAAGCAAAGACATATGCTGATGATGCTGCTGCGGATGAGGATGGTGATGGTGATGAGGACGATGCTAGTGATGACGATTACGGCGGCGACGGTGATGCTGCTAATGGTGACGACGATGCTGATGTTTGATGATGTTGGTGTTGATCGTGATGATGATGATGATGATGATGAGGAGGAGGAGGAGGAGGGTAAAGAGGAGGATTGGCAGGAGGAGGGAGGAGTAGGAGGAAAGAGGAGAGAGGATGATAAAGCAGAAGGTATGGCGAGGGAAGCGAGGCGACGGGGGGGAAAGGGGAAGGATTGATCAGGGCGAGCATGCTGACGATGAGGATGGGGTGGGCCGCCCGCGACAGGTCTCGGGGAGGGGGGCCGGGGTGGCAGAGCGGGCGGAGGGAGCGATGGAGAACGGCATGAATCAGAGCGTGAATTACCTACCTCGCTTTCGCTTCCAGGCAAAACCAAGTCATACCACGCGCCTCATCGTCAAGCGGCCTGACCAGTACAGGCCATAGTTTGGCATCGCTTGGTATCTCTTGGAAGCGAGGGTGGTCAAAAGCTAGGTAGTTTGTGTGCCCCCTAATGAAAGAGGACCGTGATGAGGAGCACGAAAGGAAGGGTCGGAAACACAAAGAAGAAGGGGAGGACAGATATCACAGTTTCAGGAGTGAGAGGTGGAGGAGGACCTCCTCTGTGTCATCTTCCTCTTCCTCCTCCTCTTCTTGACCTTTCTCGTTCTCGTTATCATCCTCGTCTTGTTTCCCACCCCCGTCCTCCTCTTTGTCGGCTTCCTCCTTAGAGGAGGATGAGGAAGAGGAGGAGGAGGAGGAGGAGGAGGAGGAGGAGGAGGAGGAGGCGGAGGAGGAGGAGGAGGAGGGGGAGGGGGAGGAGAGGGGGAGGAGGGGGAAGAGGAAGAGGAGGAGGTCGACGAATAGGACTGCCCCTCGGTCGGCTGCCCGCCCACCTGCAGGCGGCACCGACGTTGGCGGGAGGTCGGCGCCGCGCCTGCCGCCCACCTACGCGTCCTGCTGCGGCTTCGCCATCGGGGGAGGGAGGGGAAGGGAGGGGCCTGGCATCGCTCGGACGTGTGCATTTTTTTCGGCGAGGGCCATCGAGGAGCATCCTTGATCACTCGGCGAAAAAACCACGCACGAAACCGAAAAAACACAGGGAATGGACGTCCGAGCGATGGCCTGGGGGGCGGGCAGGAAGAAAGGAGAAAAGGGGCGAGGCGGTGGGGGAGGGAAGAACAGGACGGGAGTGGAGGGAAGGGACAGGGGGAGGGAGGAGGGCAGGGAGGCGAGGAGAGGTGGCAGGGGTGTGTGGAAGGGGAGGTTCGTTTCCCCCGGGCTCTTCTTCCCTTCTTCCTTTCTTCCCTTCTCCCTTTGCACCCTATCATACAACAAGTGGCACGTGGGGAAGATGGCATGTGGCAGGATGGGAAGGGCCCTCTCACACCTTGGCACCCCGAGGCTTTCAAGAGCCCTCCAGAACCTCCGAGGAAATCTAAACATCTTGTTGGGAATGCCCTGAGCCCCCCTCCACCTCTTCCTCCAAGTCACTCCTCCCTGGTTCTTAGGTCCGACGGCGGCCTCAGAGATTCGGTGGGATCAGCCAGCATCCCGAGAAGCAGCCCCTTTTACCAAGTGTGCAGCTGGTGCAGACAACTGCCCAGGCCGTGCTAGGCAGTCTCGGATTTTGCGCCGCAGAGCACTTCCTCCTCGTGTTCAGCTCAGCGTCGCCAATGTTATAGTTGCCCTCCTCATCTTCTCATCAGCATCGGCATCACCACCACCACTCGACCACTCGAGCACCACCACCACCGCCATCATCATCATCATCATCATCATCATCATCATCATCATCATCATCATCATCATCATCAGCATCATCATCATCATCGTCATCATCATCCTCATCATCATACTCGTCATACTCATCATCAGCAACAGCATCACTAACAGTATGTTTAGCCTTACCATCATCCCTATCAGGATCACAATCCCTATGTATCATCATCACCCTTATCATCATCGTTGTCATCAACACCAGCACCAGCACCATCGCCATCATCAGCACCATCATCACCGTCATCGTCAACATTATCACAACCACAGCCATAAGCATCATCATCAGCATCATTATCAGCATCGTCTTCATCATCAGCAGCATCATCATCACCATCATAATCATAATCATCAGCATCATCATCGTCGTCATCATCATCGTTGAAGGTCACCCTTGCCCGGGTCACCTCCTGCGTGCAGCCGAGACAGCTGATTCTTCTTCAGTGCCTCGCCGCTCTGTCCCCGTCGCCCTCGAGCTCGTGCCCAGAAGGTCCACGGGCGGCCGCTGCAAGCGCTGCGAGCCCACGCCGAGCGCCTGGGGCTTCCTC